AGAAAAGAAAGGAAATGACGTAAAAAAGGTAAGGAAGAAATTTAAAAAGGGAATCAATCAAGGACCAAATGTGAATTTTTACAAATCCATCAAATGACATTAAGAGTAATTAGGAGAAAAAGAAAGATTCTTTATAATACAAAAGGCAATATATATATATATATATATATATATATATATATATATATATATATATATATATATATTCAATCCACAGTGCAATTGGGTGATAATGAACAGTCTAGCAACACTGGAATTCCCATGCCTTTTAGTTTCTTTTGTAATTATTAAAAAAAAAGCATCTACCTATTCTGAGTAAATTATAAATGAGTCCCTCTAGTTTCAATAGACAAATTAATTAGTCCCTCTTGTTTCAAAAATTATTATTTAATTTTTTAATCACTATTGAACATGCTTAATATGATATTATTTTTATTTCATAAAATCTCTTATTTTTGCATGAATCTTTCCATATTTGTTTTCCTTTTTCTATTTCTTAAAACAAAAAAAAATAAATTAAATTAAAAAAAAAGAGCAAAATGACTAAATTACATGTAGATTTCAAAACACGAAAACTAAATAATTAGTTTTTAAAAGAAGAAGGACTAATTAATTTATTTCTTGAAACGAGAGGGACTAATTTATAATTTACTCACCTATTCTTATTAGTTAAATGGTTCAAGATAAGTCTTTCAATCTTGTTATTTTTTTATAATTAAATTTTATTAATTTCTTATAACTAATGAAAATTGTATTATTTTAGCCTTGATATAGTATATGTATATGCCCATGAATTTATAGCTCGATTGGCATTCATGTTTTCCCTTTAAAAAAAAAAAAAAGAATTCAAGTTAAAATCTTTCATTTGAAACTGAATATATATATATAAAGGATAGATATATATATAGTTTTCTTGATTATGAACAACGCTTTCAATGCCATAAAAAAAAGTTTCATCCTTCTCTTGTTTTCATGAGCATTTTACTCTATTGATGTGTGCCTAACTTCTTTTTAAACATTCCCACTAAAGATATTATAATAATAATAATTCGTATTGGTCCGATCTACCCATGGAAAGTAGCAGCTGGACCTTAATCTATGGAATATGTATACTTTTTTATGTGGATTTTGGACTATGTTGAAACTTAAATGGTGCAAAAGAATCCATGCTTATGCAAGGCTAAATAATTTAGTTCCTAAAGTGGGGAAAAATTGCTTGTTTATGCCAAATGGAGAAGTTGGTAGGTTAAGTTGGTAACAATGGAAATTAAGAGCAAAATGAAGCATTCTCGCATTTGAAAAGTTTTTCTTCTCTTCTTTTATATGGTAATAAATATAGATCGATAGCATATTTAAACAATTTGATTCTTACAATCGATTATAAATTAAATACGATGAATTGCTGATTTAATTCATAAAATAATAAATTTTTGATGAGAAAACAATTTCCAATATACCATACTATTTGTTAAAATAAAGAAGAAGAAGAAGCTTTATGAAGCATTTGGTGGGTGAGAGAGTAGTTTTGCTTGCTTCAATTCAAAGGTACGTGTCGGTGGCCAAATCCATTATGGCCATATAAGTAGTTTAGCGAATTCAAGAAACAATTCATTGAATTCGAAGAAATTGATGTGAATGAGACTAAATTTTACTCAATTTATTTATTGAATTAATTATATGTTTGTTTATGATTTTGTTTTTTTACTAATGATATGATTGTTTGCGATTAGTGTTTTGTTAATTATTTAATTGAGGGATGATCACTAAATATAGTCCTTCTCCCTTTAAATTAAAAAATTCTTTCAATTTTATTAGTGAAAAAAAAATATTAGTAAAGAAACCCATGAAAAAAACTAATTTTTTGATGACGAAAAAAAAAAAAAAACACCATAACCTCCTCCATCAAAATCTGTCAAATTTTTGTTCCCAAAATGTGATGTATTTGGTACGGATATTAATGTTCTTTATTTGCATGTAGGCGAAGTAAAAATCATTTGTTAATTAATGTCCTCATCCCGACGACTTTTATCTGTGGCTAGGTTGCCGACAATGGTTTTGGCATATAGCTAGATATTCCTTTTTGTTATTAGTACGTAGTATGTATCTCTTTTATCAAGAGATCACGTTTCAGTATACAAAAAGATTAATAGTTAAATCTGTTTTTATATAATATGATAATTTCTTAATCTATTCATATATTTTTAATTAAATTAATTTTATTTTTAAATATATATTAAGTTTTTCATATATTTTTAAATTAAACTATTGAAAATAATCAAGTGATTTTCATATAAAACCCTTCCATTTGTCCGACTTGCATTCGAAAATTTTAAAAATAAAAAAGTATTTATGTATAAAACCCGTGACTAATTTCAATGAGTTATTATGAAAATTATAACAAATAATAAATTTTAAACTAAAAATATATTAAACGATAAAATTGATCTAATTAAAAATATAATGATAGATTAAAAAGTTATCTTATTATATAACTACATATTGAATCATTAGCCTTAACCAAAAGTTATCCTAAAAGATAAAATTGATCTAATTAAAAATATAATGATAGATAAACGAATTATTTAGTTTTTTATTTATTTCAAAAACGAGTTATTTAGCTTTTTAACTAGCACGGATCATAATTTACTCCACCAATTTCTTGTTTTCGGTTATGGCTTACATAAGCATGGAATCTTATGCAACATCAATGCATGGTTTCAACAAAGTTAATTATTTATGTCTTTCATTGCCCAAATAAATCCATTCAATGGGCATATGACAAATACAACAAATAAATCCATACAAGTTAATTATTTGACAAATAATTAACTTGTATTTGTCATCTGCCGATTGAATGGATTTGTTTGGACAACGAAAGACACAAATAATTAACTATGTTGAAACCATGAATTGATGATGCATAAGATTCCATGCTTATGTAAGCCATAACCGAAAATGAGAAGTTGGAGGAGTAAATTATAAATTAGTCCCTCTAGTTTTGCCAAAAGAAATTTATGTCAAAAACTAATTAATTAGGCCCTTAACTAATGTTCATTTTGCTTAATTTAATATTATTTTATTTTAACATCTTTTTTTCTCATTAGTCTTTTCGGAGTAAATTATAAATTAGTCTCTCTAGTTTTATGAAACAAACTAATTAGTCTCTCCGGTTTCAAAAACTCTTAATTCCTCATCTATTATTTTTCATATTTTTTCTCTTTTGATTTCTTAAAAAAATTAAAAAAAATTAAAAAGAAGAAAAAAATAAAATTACAAACAGATTTCAAAACATGCATGGAGATTAAATGATTAGTTTCGAAATGAGAGATATTAATTAATTTGTTTTTCGAAATGAGAGGGACTAATTGATAATTTACTTAATCTCTTCATGTTATTTACTTCCTTTTCTCTTTCTCAACAACAACAATAATAATAAAAGGCATGAAATGGAAGAAAAAGATTAATTGATTAGTTCCGTAAAACTAAAAGGACTAATTTATAATTTACTTGAAGTTGTTGGTTGACATGCCAAGTTGCCAAGAACTCAAAGAACAAAATGAAGGCATTTAGGTGTGGGTGAAGCTTCCTTCCATTCAAAGCCACTAAGTTCATGAACATTGGCCATAACCCCATTGATTTCTATTGCTTTTGTCGTTTCTTTCATTGTATATCAATAATGACTGCCAACTGCCCTAATCCCTATTAATTATCAGTTCCTGATTATTCCCATCAATCAATCTCTAAATGATCAAACATATCTAGCTAACTCTTTTATTTTTTTTTACTTTTAAAGTTTGCATGACTAGATACTCATGTAAATTAAAGTAAATTTAAGCGAAGCAAATTAAAAAGTGCCAGGTATAAAATTAAGTCAAAATCAACATCATTCCAAGCTTTACCAAAAAAAAAAAAAAAAAAAAATCGTTGTTTATATCGAAACTAATTAGATAGATAAATAAATATCATCCAAAAAAATTATTTTGAGCGAGAAAGAATTTTATTCGCTTAATCAAAACTATTTGCTTAAGTAAATAACTTTGGCTTTGAGTCCTTTCATATATATATATATATATATATATTTTGAATAATTATATCTGTTTTGTATGTTTAACCGAACAATGATAGATAAGTTTGAACGTTTAATTTTAAAATATTCTAAAAATTCAAAAAACAAAAAACCTAATAAATATCGTTTTTTTTGGTAAAATAACGTAAATGCATTGATTCTTTACCGTGATCAATCTTGTGTCTTACATCGAAGAATTACTATGCTATAGTTTTTTAATTTTTTGTACTTCTTGTCATATTTGTAAAATTTAAACCATTAAATTCAAAAGGAATTTGATATTATTTTAGTGCATGTTCAAGAAGATAATCACGACCAGAAAATTGCATGATTCAATGATTATTTTGATCAAGGGAGAATTCATGAATCCAAGTACAATTATAGATCAAGTCAAAATTCCATTATCTAGTTAGATCAAGAATGACTTAGCCTGCCACATGTTTGCCAGCAAAGAATGCCATTGTTTGCATAAAGAAAGCAACCGGTTGCCATCAAAGAATAAAGAAAGCAATTACGAAGTGAAAGAAAAGAAGATGACAATATCACCATAGAAATAGCAATGATTAATAGAATGGAAACTTTAATTTCCCTTTTATTAATTTATTAAAAATACTGTTACCCATATCACCAACCTTATTTATCTTAGTATTACATAAATTCTCTGCACCCAAAAAAAAAAAAAGAAAAAAGAAAAACAAAACCCAATATGCAGCCAAAACTGACTTAACACTTCAACAAAGACAATAACCAGCTAGCTAGAGAAGGTTATGACAGGAACATATGAGTGACGACTGTGCGTGATGCTGTCCATGTTTTGATTATCGACACAATATTAATGTCCATAAAGACGATAGGATTCGTAATAGTTATTCGAATTTAGTAATTTTTGGTGGAAATCGGCTCAAAGCGTCGGTATTTCTATGCTTCCTTCCTTTCACATGATTGTGCATACCGAGGGACGATCATCGCAGACATACTCACACCTACACACATAATAGCCACTTCTTCGGCAATCACAACCACCACCCCAGCTATCATACACTGGCCTTCCATAGCATGGGGGTGGTGCTGGCCTGCCATAGTCATGAAAACATGGGCCTCCGCCGATCCCATGATAGCATTCATCGCAACATGTACGCGGGTAGACCGGTACCGGTGGGTACCCAGGAACAGGTTCAGGAGGTTTCGGTGGAGCTGGAGCTGCAGGTTGTTTAGGCTTCTCTGGTTCTTTTGGTTTTTCAGGTTGTTTAGGCTTCTCTGGTTCTTTTGGTTTTTCAGGTGCTTTAGGCTTCTCTGGTTCTTTTGGCTTTTCAGGTGTTTTAGGCTTCTCTGGTTGCTTAGGCTTTTCAGGTTCTTTAGGCTTCTCTGGTTGCTTAGGTTTTTCAGGTTCTTTAGGCTTCTCTGGTGCTTTCGGCTTCTCTGCTGGTTTAGGCTTCTCTGGCACCTTAATCTCAATGCCTTTGACAGCTTCACCTCCTTTGCAGCATATCTTCCTCTTGATCTTTTCAGGACTGCAACATACCACAGTGACTGTCACTGTGCCTGCCTTCTTATCATATATCTGGTTCTGAATTTCTCTTGTTCAGAAACAGCATCAAATCCACAAAACTTAGTCACTTTCCCTTGGTAACAAAAAAACAACTCAAAACTTACAATGTTTTAATGGAGCTAGAAGGAATCAGAAACTCACGAGGGATTTTACAGAGTACTTTCTTGATTTTCCTCTGGCATTTCTCACATTCAAGGTCAACCTTGATCACCAGTGTTGTGACCTGCTGCAATAATAATATATATAGCACATACATACAAGAAATTAAGGATCAACCCCATGATTTATTGACAGAAAATGGAAGAGTCGAAACATTTTCTGACATGTAAGAATATTGAGCTGCAGAGATTCTGATCAAGAAGATGAGGTACATAGGGCCAAAAACAATGAGCACCACAGAAAAAGAAAAAAAAAATCACATGGGCATCTAATTAGAAGACAAACAAAAAAGAAGAATTAGCAGAAACTCCATACATCCATTTATTTGCATACCTTTTCTGCCATGGTTTCGTCGAAGCTTTGATCTGAACTTGCAAAACAGAACAGAACAGAACAGAACAGAGTGTGAGGGGGAGGGTGAGGGGAGATAACTGAAAGAGCCTTATAAATTAAGATTGATTACATCTTAAGTAGTAGAAAAAAAAAAGTGAGACCATAATTTAATTGTCCTTACATCTAGATACCAATAAGATGAGTACACGTGGAATTAGGCTTGGAATTTTATGTAATCAATCATATCATCAATTTTGTCGTTGCATTTTTTGATTGCTTACCCTCCAATCTTCCATCTGCATGTGCTGACTTTGATGGACACACCTTACCACCTGTTTTTTTTTAAGTCAATTAAAGAGTAGATTATAAATTAGTCCCTCTATTTTCAAAAAATAAATTAATTAGTATTTTTTATTTAAAAAACTAATTATTTAGTCATTTAACTAGTATTGAACATGCTTAATTTAATACTCTTTCTGTTTCAAATAAATTGTATGTTTTTATATTTATATTCTTCTAGTTAAAATTTTAAGTAATATATTTTTCTAAAATATCCTTAATTAATATTAATTTGGTGTCATGTAAGATTAAATTTAATTACTAAAAATTTTATAAAAAAAGAGAGGGTATTTTATAAAAATAAGAACAAAAAAAATACTGATATGATATAACTATAAATAACCTTTTTAATCTTTATAAAAATAAAAAGATAATTTCTTTGTGGCTAGATAGATTATTACTTTATTTCATAAAAATTCATCTTTTCTTATTAATTATGTCATGTTTTTTACTTTTTTTCCTTTTTTTAAAAAGAAGAATCAAGTTATAAAAAAAAATTTAAAAAATTTAAAAATAAATAATTAATTTTTGAAACAAAAAGAACTAATTAATCTATTTCTCGAAACTGAAAGGACTAATTTATAATTCACTATTAATTCAAAGGTTGTAGTGCATTTTAAGGTACATTAGTTAGGTCATGTTCAAAAAATGGGGCATGCACCCCCACATGCCAACCGTACACGTGTCCCAAGACCTAGTGCCCCACATCAAATTAATAAAAAAGAAATTAATTAATAGTCCATATTCCTCTATTTTATTTCATTTTCAGCCATCATTGAGTTGTATTCTTATGAAATGGCATTATATATATATATATATATATATATATATATATATTCAAAACATATGAAAATGAAGAAAGAAGAAACCCAAGTGCTTAAGCAACTTAGCTCATCTTTTCAACCCATCAATTGGACCATAAAAGGGTTAGGATACATTAGGGATGGCTATCTGCATATTGCTGTGTTTGGACATAAAAGGGGAAAGTTCGAAAACTGTGGGCTCCGAAAGTTGTTCGTCACTGCAAACTTCCGGAAGCTGAGGCAGCCCTAAATTGTCCAACTCCTACTATGAAAATAGTTTTTCTATATATTTTTAATTAAATTAGTTTTATTTTTAGATATAAATTAAATTTTTAATATGTCTTTTATATTAAAATTTTCAAGTCAGACTGTCAAAATTATTTACCTGATTTGTAATTTGACTATTTTCTATTTCTTATGGTAAAAAGAGAACTTAATCTATACATCTCTTTTTAGATCATCCCACACCACATATGATTATTATAATTTTTAATTGTCATCAGGTCATTGAAAGTAGGGATGACAATGTACATGGTCAAATACATGGCAAATAAGTATTCATTAAAAATAGTAAATGGATATTAAAGTGGATAAAATAAAAAATATATATTCGTTAATATGTTTTTATTATATGAGGACGTACTTTTTATTCTATTAATATTTACTAATTTTTATTTTTTAACATGTAAATTTCTAATTTTATAAACTTTAAAAATTAAGAATAAATTTTTTCCAAAAAAATTAGGGACCAAAAAACTTATAAATAAAGGATTAGAATATAAAATATTAAAATTTAAGGACCAACTTGAAAATTACAAGAATTAAAATGAAATATTTTGATAAATTATTTTTTTCGGGTATTAAATAGGTAACTAATATAGACCATATATAGGCCCGGTAAATATTTATATTGTGATTTTTTAATAGATAATTGGTAAATTACTCCTTTTATGAATAGAGTAAAAAATTAAATTAATTTAATAAGCCAAATAAATGTCCGTTGTCATCTCTAATTGAAAGGATTATTTGTGCCATGAAATATACAAATGCTTTTGTATGTTTGAAACCGTGAATAAATGATGCATAAGATTCCATGTTTATCCTGTTCGGCTTAACCAAAATGAGATCTCTGTGGCTCTCTAAAATTAACCCTTCCATTAACTTCCTCTTTTGCATAGTTTCATCGGTGATTCTCAAAGAGGGAAATAAGAATGCATATCTCCAAGTTTTGTTACCCTCTGGTCTAAAGTGCGTGTGAAAATCACATGAAAACATTAGAAGCCATAACTGAGCACCAAACTAACAAATATTTAGAAGCATATGGTTGGGATTATACTGAGAAATTATGCCAAGGTGAGTCACAGAAGCTGTTTTTCTTGTTCAAACCATTACTTCTCTTGACCAGATTTGATTTTGTATGATACATAGGTGAAAAAACTATATTTATTACTTATTACCCATAATCCCACACGGGTTTTTTATGAACAAAAGAGTATAATTTCTTATATCTTTCTCTGCTTGATGTTGTTGATGAAAAAGAAGAAGAAGACGAGAAAGAAGAGTAAGATGAGAAAAAACAAGACCACAACATAAGTAATGAACTGTATCAACAAACAAATCAGTCAAGATTTGTTGCTCAATTGCAGCAAGAGAAGAAAGAAATATAGGGTTAATCGATTTTTGGATTTAGGTTTGCTAGAGTAAGATGGGGATTTGTTGCTCGATTTAGTAAACCATGGTTAGTTTTTATGTTTTTAAAATCCTTTTCAAATGATTTTAACTGCTAACCAAGTTAGAAAAAAACAAAATTAAAAATAAAATTACGTTTTCACTCTCAAATTGACAAATATCAATATTGTATTTGTCATACCTCAATTAACGAAAGTTAGTCTAACTAACAAAAAAGTTAACGGAAAGATTAATTTATACCAACTTCCAATAATATATGATCGGTTACAAACTATATCTGAATACATGAGTTGTGACGATAATTTCATTAAAGTACAAGGGCATGAGATGTATTAAACCCATTAATCGAGGGATCATCATTCTCGCCAAGTGGGGATGGCAATTAGCGTGTACCCAATCTATTAATTTAATTTTTTACCTTACTCATTAAAAGAATGTCCTACACATTATTCATTAAAAAAATCATTATATAAATCTTTATTCAGCCCATATTAGTTTACCCACTCATTTGATATCTGCTAAAAATAATTTATTAAAAATATAAATTTTAGTCTCTATAATTTTTAAGAAATTTTGTTGCAGTCCTTAATTTTTTTATTTTACATTTTGGTCATTTCTTTATAATTTTTGGTCCTCAAAGGTTTTGAAAAAAATATTTTTTATCTTTTAATTTTAAATTTTATGCAATTAAATTTCTATATGTTAAAAAATCAAAATAAATTAGTGAGTATTAAAAACATAAAAGATGCGTACTCGTATCTCAAAATCATATTAATCGATATATTTTTTTATTCTTACTCACTTTAATATTTATTAGATATTTTTAATATATACCTATTAAATCAAAGAAAATAAATATTCTTTTTATACATATTCTATTGTCATCCCTGTTATCATCCCTATGGTCAAGTGCAATTTTAATTAATTGAATGACAGTCCAAATCTCATTATCAGTTATTCAGTTTGGATCAAGTAGGACTTAGCTTGCACGTTTTTGCCAGCAAAGCGTGATTACGTTTGCGCAACGAAAGCAAACAGTTACCATTAAAGTTTAAGAAATCAAGTGGAAAGCGAGAGAAAAAGGTGAGGCATTAAGAAGAGTTCGCTTTTGGTAGAATTGGACCGGTGATTAAAATGATTTATTATCTTTTTTTTTATATTAAAAAAGAAGAAGCTAACATGACTAGATATTCTTGTAAATTAAAGCAAATTAAAAAGTGCCAGATTGCAAGACTAAGTAAAAATCAACATCATTCCGAGCTTTACCAAAAAAAAAAAAAAATCATTGTTTAAAGCTCAATTTCTTTATTGAAACTGATTAAAATAATAATAATAATACATATCACTCAAGAGGATTGTTTTGAGAAAAAAATTCAAATCGTTTAATTAAGTGGTTTCGGTTTCGAATCCTTATACATGCGAGAAAACTTTTTAAATAGTTGTATTCGTCTTTTTTGTCCCATCGAACAACGATGAATTCAAATAATAATAATAATAATAATACATATCATTCAAGAGGATTGTTTTGAGAAAAAAAAGTTCTAATCATTTAATTATGTGGTTTCGATTTCGAATCTTTATATATGCAAAAAACTCTTTGAATAATCGTATCCATCTTGTGTATCCGATCGAACAATAATGAATTAGTCTTTGAATGTGTGAGCTTGAAATACCCTAAAGATTAAAAAAAAAAGCTAATAAATATCCTTTTTTTAGTAAAATAATAAAAATGTATCGATTCTTTACCGTGGTCAATCCTTTTTATTACATTGAATAATTACTATGTTATAAGTTTTTTTAGGTTTTTTTTTCTTTTTTAAGTCTGTAATATTTGTAAAATTTAAACCATTAAATTAAAAAGGAATTTGATATTATTTTAGTACATGTTCGAGAAGATAGTCAAGACAAGAAAATTCGCTTGATTCAATGATTCTGTTGATCAAGGGAGAATTCATGAATCCAAGTAGTACTATTATAGGATGATAGTCAAAATTCCACTATATAGTTAGATCAAGAATGACTTAGCTTGCAGCACATGGTTTTGCCAGCAAAAGCATGCATGCTGTCGTTTACATAAAGAAAGCAATCGGTACTTTACCATCAAAGAATAAAGAAAGCAAATAGAAAGTAAAAGAAAAGGAGATGGCACTACACCGTAGAAATAGAAATGACTAATAGAATGGAAAATTTAATTTCCCTTTTATTAATTTATTAAAAATATTAATGTTACAAAATATCACCAGCCTTATTTATCTTAGTATCACATAAATTCTCTTTACCAAATAATATTAAATGGATATTAAAGTGGATTAAGGTAAAAAAAAAAAAAAAACGTATCTGTTAATATATTTTTAGAATATGGGTACTCACTCCTTATTTTATTTATATCCACTAATTTATTTTTATTTGTTTAACTTATAGATATCTAATTGCATAAATTTTAAAAATCAAGGACTATATTTTTTTTCAAAAAATTTGAGGACTAAAAAATTTATAAATAAAGGATTAGTATGTAAAAAATTAAAATTTAAGGACCAACTAAAAAATTATAAGGATTAAAATGAAATATTTTGACAATTTATTTTTAGTGGTATTGTATAGATGCTAAATAAAAGGGTAAACTGAGGAGGGCTAGATATGAGCCGAGTAAAGATTTAGATGAAGAGTTCATATTCATTTAATACCTTCTAAGAATAATTTATTAAAAATATTCATTTTAATCCTTATAATTTTTTTAAAAATTTGGTCCTTAAATTTTGGTCATTTCTTTATAATTTTTTGTCCTCAAAGGTTTTAAAAAAATATTTTGATCCTTTATTTTAGAAGTTTATAGAATTTGATTCTTATATGTTAAAAAATCAAAATAAATTAATAACTATTAAAAAAATAAAGAATAAATACCTATATCTTAAATCATATTAAAAAAAATATTTTTTATTCTTATTTATTAAATTTTTTAATATATATTTATTAGATTGAATAAAACATATACTTATTTTATAACTGAACATTCATTTCATTCGCCAAGTGCAATTTTAACTTATAGAATCAAAGTCCAAACCCCATTATCTATTTTGGATCAAGTATGACTTAGCTTGCACGTTTTTGCCAGCAAAGCGTGATTACGTTTGCACAGCAAAAGCAATCGGTTAGCATCAAAGATTAAAGAAAGCAATCAGAAAGCGAAAGCAAAAGGCGAGGGAATAAAAAGAGTTCGCTTTTGGTGGAATTGGCCCGGTGATTAAAATGATTTAATTATTATCTTTTTTTTTTAACATTTTAGATTTAAATTTTGAAGTAAGTATTTAAAATAATTTATTAAATTTTCTTAATGCATAATATCAATATAAAAGATGCATTTTTAATATCATCTATCGATATAAAAAATGTATTTTTAAAATTGTGTGAAAAAAACTTCTCTCACACGTCAAAAAAGAAAAAGAAAAAAAGCACCGACACCACAAAAAGTGAAAAACTTTTGCTTTCAATAGCAATACTTTTAACAACTTTTGTAACCCTTTTAACAAAATATTGTTACACATCTCAGCAAAATTAATCTTTTACCTAAAATCAACATATATTTTTTGTTCAACGATAATAGTGTTTTCAAGTTATTTTTCATTTGTTTCGACACTAATCTCTTTCTAAACATAGTTAAAAAATATTTTCTAATATATGAACTCAGATATTTTGAAGATAAATTTTACTTATTTTTCTCCGAAACCCTTGCCACTTTGGTTTTGGACCATCCTTGACACTTTGAGTCCTAACCATGTGGATTGTTTCTCTGGCAGAGCCACCCCATTTCTTGAACATTGTCATTTCCCTAGAAATTAAGATTGAGAGCCAAAAGAAGGGTCAAGTTTAAACTGTAAGCACTACTGATTTTTTATTTTTGTTGAGAGTGCGTGCATATATATATATATATATATATATATATACACAGAGAGAGAGAGAGAGAGAGAGGGACATGGACCTTAATGATGCAGATGATACTAAGTTAATCAAACAAAAGGATAAACTAAGTAATGTTGACAACTTGCTCGAAAACTAAACTTGACTTTCAAAATCCTATATTTAATACATTTCCTTATCACTGTGAGAAAGTACGTAGAATTTGGTGAAGAATGTGTTGTGATCTCTGTGATGTAATAATAATAATAATCATCATCAATATGGCCATTTCTGATTTCTGGCCCTTAGATCGATCTATCATGGGAATGTGCTGTGCTTACTTTGATTATCACTTTCTATTTTGTTAAACAAGTTTTGTTTATTTCTTTTGAATTCTTTGAGTTTTAATTTACTCCAATGGCAATACCAGGACAGGTTAAAAGACCCAGCGGCTACAACTATGTTGCATCACATTATGGTAGTGTCCCTAATTGAAAAAAATTGCTGTGTGCCGTGGACATAAAAAAAGTTCCAAATCTTTTGCTCAACAACAGCAAAAACTCCATGAGTGAAGCTTCCCTCGATTTAAAGCTATTGGTGGGCAACTCAACGCACATGGCCCTAACCCGTTCAATTTTGGTTTTTAATAATAGTTAGTTTTAAAAAAATTTAGATGATTTTATTATTTATGAATTTGACTTTTGTTGTAGGGTAATTAATGATGTGTAATAGATCTATTAATACAAAATAACTGAATTATTAATTATTTTAAGAATCAAAATTAATTTTGAAAAAAATATTTAGTAATAATTAGCTTTTTTGTAGGTTAGATTATTTTTTAAAAAATTTATGGATCTTAATTTTGTTGTTAGGTAATTAATTATGTGCAATGAATCTATCTAAGTTAAAATAAAGATTAATTTCTTTTTAAAACTATTGGTGCACATCAATGAACATGGCCTTAACCTTTTAAATTTTTTTTATTGTTTTAATCATTTCATTATACTTCTATGGCAGCCACCATTTTTATTTTCTCAATCCATCATCAAATAATGGGTAAAGGATCAAACAGAAAAAGTTATGTAGTTGGACCATGTGCTCTATCTGTTTGAGTTTCGCTAGGTATTCATGTCAAAGTACTAATCTGGCTAGGTATCAAACAGATTCCCACCCTTTTAAGATATTTTGTAGAAGGATACAAGTAATGACCACGACTACGTAGAGCAACATCTGATTTAGATTTCATTTTTGCAGGAATAAATTTCTTAAGATATATATATGTGACCAAATAAGATAAGTAATGACAACATTTTCTTCCAGGCAGCTTGCTTTATCCTTTTTGAGAACATACAAAAATGGAATATATAAGTTCAGGAAGATGAGCAAGTAGTTGATTGAGGTTACCATAGCCTTGGTTTGTCTTTCTAAGTATTGGTAACCTCATATGCAAAAACAAGATTAGGAAATATAATATCTTGGCAATTATTTTCAAGTCCGATGGAAGAGAAATTTCTTTATGAGTGTATTCAAGATCGCAATTGGTAATTCAAAGATATTACAATTATATAAGATGGAAGTGTAAATAATAGAAGAAGTAACACTAACATGAGCCACATTCCAAGCCAAAGTAATCTCCAACCCCCACAATGGTTGATCTTGTGGCAGGACAATTTGAAAAATAAAAAAATCACATATAAATGTTAAAACATGTAAATGCGAGTATGGAGGATGGTATATGCTTTGGGGAATATGCATGGTGAAATGCATGGTAACCTTAAGGGAATAAGTAGAAGGAGAATCGCATCCAAGCCCGTTGTATTTGCCAGCTAATCCGAAGAAGCAGGAGATTCCCTTTACCTGCAACACAATTATTGGCACACAAAGAAAACAACTATTAGAAATTAGTTATAGAATTTTTCTTTTGAAAATAAGTTCTAGAATGTAGTAACGATGTATATATAGAGAGAGTGACACCAAAATGTAAACTAAAATGTTTTTTTAAATCATCAATGAGAATTCCTTTATTCATTCTCTCATCTCTTATCTTTCAATTTTAACATGGTATCAAAGCTTAACACTCTCTACCGAAACCTTGCATTTTTTTTTAAACATGAATATTGAAGAAATCACCACAACAAACAATGCACCAGTCATTGATTTCACAAACCCTCTTCACATTCATGCTTCGATACACCAAATTTGGTGTTAGTTCCAAAAGAACTGGAACTTAAAGGCATGGAGAACTATGGTGTGTGGTCTAGAGCAATGAAGATTTCTCTTGAAGCAAAAAACAAATATGGTTTAGTTGATGGAACTCGTGAGAAACCAGAACCTACATCTCCTCTATACTCACACTTGGGTCGGATGCAATGCCATAGTCTTTGCTTGGCTATTGAACACCGTGTCACAAGAAATATACAATGCTATGGTCTATTACAAGTCCGCGAAGAATGGTTTGGAAGGATCTTAAAGACGGATTCGATAAGATCGGTGGCCCTCAAATGTTTTCCATTCACGGAGAAATCTCTCACATAATGCAAGGTACCCTCTCTCGTATCAACTTATTATTCCAAGCTTCGGAAGCTATGGGATGAATTTGAGACTTTAGTAACATTTCCAACTCCGTGATCGCCCAAATTCAAAACTATACCTAGAACACACACAACACCTCAAAATGTTGCGGTTCCTAATTGGTTTGAATGAGAGTTATGCCAATGTAAGGTCACAAATACTTATGATGATGTCATTACCTACACATACCCAAGCTTTTTCCATAGTGAGCGAGTGAAGAATCTCAAAGGAACCTATCCAACAATATTCAAGTGAGTGACTCTCCAGCAAGCTTCTACTCAAATAATCACTTCAAAACAGTGAATATGAGTAGGAAGGAAGCTATTATTTGTGATTACTCGTCACATGACAGGACACTTAAAGAAGGATTGCTACAAATTGGTGGGCTATCTAAGCACACCTAGACGAGGTTTAGGAAGAGGAGGAAGAAGGCCATATGGCCGTGGCGATGAGAGGAAGAAGCTATCATGCAAATCGGTCTAGCTATGGAGGGGCGAGTCCGCCGACTTGATCTCAAACAAAGAAGAACAAAGCCAGCCAATGGGAAATGCACCAACCTTCACACAACAATAATACAATCAAATCATGCAACTCGCTTGGGACGATTCGAGTCGTGAAAAAGGATCATCCTCAAACCAACCTTCGACTAATGTTGCAGGTAACCTTACTTGTTGTGCAAATAGAATGAATATTGGTTTAAAAAATGATTGGGTGATTGATAGTGGGGTAAATGAGCACATGTCTTGTGAAGTAGATGATAATGCATTAATTTCTAACATTGCTTCAAATCATCTAGAAGTCCAATTGCCAAATGGTAAATCATCCCAAGTAACACACACAAGCACCATATCCTTATCTTCTACATTCAAACTAAAAAATGTGTTACACATACCAGATTTCAAGTTCAACCTATTGTCCATTTCGAAATTCACCAAAGATAATCAATGCTTTGTAGTTTTTTATCCTAATTTTTGCCTATTTCGGGACTTCAAGATTGGGTTGATAAAGGGGATTAGTAGGATGCACAATGGATTATACTATCTCAAAAAGAAACACTATCATATGCTCATTCACCATAAGTTCTCAAGTCTCATCAACACATAAATTCTCAAAGTTCTTACTCTCATTTCATGTCGGTTTCTAAGTTCATCGAGTGACGTAGTCCTTCAATCAAGTCTGTAATGTAATTTCTAAATCAATAAAATGCAATGTTTGGCACATGAGATTTGGACATGCTAGCAACTTAAGACTCAAATTTCTACCACCATTGAAAGATATATGTAAGCATGAAGAAAACCAATGTTCTATATGCCCACTAGCAAAGTTAACCGGATTACCTTTTCATAAAACACAAACCAAAACCAAACACATTTTTGAACTAATACATCTTGACATTTGGGGACCATATAGAACACCTACACACAATGGGGCAAGATACTTTCTTACAATAGTAGATGATTATTCAAGAGGAACATGGACATTTTTATTGAACTATAAGAGTGATGCAAATACCACTCGTCGAAATTTTTTTCATCTCATCAAAACACAATTTGGTAAAACCATGAAAAGAATTAGAACGAGATAGAGCAAGAGATTTTTTTTAATCATGAATGCAAGTCATTTTTGGAAGAACAAGGAGTCATTCATGAAAGCACCATACCATATACACCACAACAAAATGGAAGGGTAGAGAGAAAACACGGACACATTCTTAATGTTGCTAGATCCCTTATGTTTCAATCAAATGTGCCAATAGAGTTTTGGGGAGATTGCATATTAACGACTACATACTTGATAAACGGAATTCCTACTCCACTCTTAAATTACAAAACCCCTTACGAAATGATTTTTGGCAAAACTCCTAGAATTGATCACCTAAGAGTTTTTGGAACCCTTTGCTATGTCAAAACCTTAAACAATCTTGACAAATTTAGCCCCGAGATCAAAACCTTGTATCTTTGTTGGATATCCCTTTAGTCAATCGAGGTTATAAGGTTTATGACATAGAATCCAAGAAGTTCTTTGTGTCTAGAGACATTCCGTATTATGAGAATTTGTTTCCCTTTGAATTAAAGCTAACAAATTCAACTCCAAATCACAATCAATCCAATGATTTTCTGTTTGATGAGTCGGTTCCAATCTCAAACCCTCCCATTGTACATTCCGATGTTACTCAAGTTAGTCCACATAACACTCCAGTCGATCAATCCCAAACACACACATAAATCTACTCATCTTCTCCACCTAAACATCAATCACAACATGTAGAAAACCTTAGAAGATCAACTAGGATAATCCAACCACCAATCTGGTCGGTGACTATGAATGTCCTACAATCCCGAAAGCGACTCGATCAA